GGTCGCTCTATCGTCACCGCATGCACGTGGCTCAGCCACGTTCGACCCAAGAGCAGGTCGGAGCTGCAGTTCTTGACTGCAAAGACAGGCAGGGTCACTCGTACCCCTTGGACCTCTATGGCTGCCTTGTGACAAACCCCATTGATCTGTTGCTTTCTCCCATCAGCCGTCTCTATCTCGAATAGGTACGACCTGTCGAGGCCCAGTCCAACCTGTACTGCCAGGTCCTCGTCTATGATGACAACCTCACTGCCGTTATCGATCACAGCATCAAGTATCGCTCCATCGTTTATAATCGTCTCCACGGCCCCACTACCATGTATATAAAACTTGTCTGGAGGCACACCTTCCATTCCATCGAGAAGGACTGTCGCCATGCGATCCGCTCTGGCAGTCACCCCCGTTACTGCTACTGTAGAAGCTTCCGCCTTAGGGGCCCCCTGACCCTCCTCCGATAGAGGTATGTGAGTCTTCCGCGTGATCATCTGTAACTCATCACGAATCGGCTTCGATGCCGCCAGATACTCCAGAATAGAGCACTGCATGGGTTGCCGAAGGGTCCGCCTCAGTGGCTCGACCGTGTCAATCTCGTCCAGCGAACTCTTCATTAAGATCTTCTTCACTCCCCTCTTTCGCGGCGAAAGGATAACCTCCTCTCCATCGACCCGCTGCCCGTCCTTCTCCGTCATCACGTAGTCCGTGTCAGTCTTCTTCGTTGTCGACCCTCTTGCGGACTTGGTGGCTGCCACCCTTATGGGTGTGGTCGCGATATCCCCCTCAAAGGTTATCTTGATGCTCTGGCTCCTGACCGGCTCCATTCCTTTACTCGTCTTTATTCTCCTTGCTTCGACATTCTCCTTCATCGAGGGGAACATCGATACGTCTCCCAGATCATCTGCCCACTTGACGTACTTGCGGTCGTCAAGCACGACAAGTCCCTCATCTATTGCCCGTTTGAGGTCCGGGCAATCCCTCTTGATATGATCTTCTCGTCTACAGTAAACGCATGAGTTCCTGGGAGTAGATGGCCTGTCGTCTGCGCCTCTAGAGATCGAACTCCTGGCCGCCTTGGGGTCAGGCGACTTGGGATATGGTTCTGATGAGACACCATATCCCCCTCTCTCATTCCGACCGCGCGGATCGTTGCGCCGGTCTCCTCCAGACCCTCCTTGCTCATACCGCCCTTGCGAATCATTCCGGCGGTCCCCCGACTCATATCGTCCTCGTGACTCATCGCGTCGGTCCCCTCGGTTGTACCATCCCCGCGACTCGTCGCGCTGCTCTCTCGCATCTCCACCGCGCTCAAACCGTCCGCGCGACCCATCTCGTCGTTCCCAGTCCCGATCTCCTCTTTCATACCTACTACCTCTGTAGCCATCTCGACCCGACCTTTCATATCTGTCGTCCCTATATCCATCTCGGTCCGTTCTTTCGTACCTATCGTCCCTATATCCATCTCGTCGCCCCTGATCTGTCTCCCATCGGCCGCGGGAATCGCCTCTACCCCGATCGGCCTCATAGCGAGGGCTTCGCGGATAATCATCCTGCCTCCTTGCTCGCGCAAATGGCTCGCGATCTCTGCGGTCTCGGTCTATCTCATCATCCCTACATCGCCATGGCTCATCGTCTCTCTCTCTTCCCCTCGTACGATAATCAGTCAGCGTCCGAGGATTT